TCATATCTGTGTCTGTATCTGCCTGTAGGTGTTCATATCTGTGTCTGTATCTGCTTGTAGGTGTTCATATCTGTATCTGCTTGTAGGTGTTCATATCTGTGTGTAGGTCTGCATATCTGTGTTCTGTATCTGCCTTGTGTTCATCTGTGTCATCTGTGTCTGTATCTGTATCTGCCTGTAGGTGTTCATATCTGTGTCTGTATCTGCTTGTAGGTGTTCATATCTGTGTCTGTATCTGCCTGTAGGTGTTCATATCTGTGTCTGTATCTGCTTGTAGGTGTTCATATCTGTGTCTGTATCTGCTTGTAGGTGTTCATCTGCTTGTAGGTGTTCATATCTGTGTCTGTATCTGCTTGTAGGTGTTCATATCTGTGTCTGTATCTGCTTGTAGGTGTTCATATCTGTGTCTGTATCTGCTTGTAGGTGTTCATATCTGTGTCTGTATCTGCTTGTAGGTGTTCATATCTGTGTCTGTATCTGCCTGTAGGTGTTCATATCTGTGTCTGTATCTGCTTGTAGGTGTTCATATCTGTGTCTGTATCTGCTTGTAGGTGTTCATATCTCTGTGTCTGTATCTGCTTGTAGGTGTTCATATCTATCTGTGTATCTGTATCTTCTGTATCTGTAGGTGTTCATATCTGTGTCTGTATCTGCTTGTAGGTGTTCATATCTGTGTCTGTATCTGCCTGTAGGTGTTCATATCTGTTTCTGTATCTGCTTGTAGGTGTTCATATCTGTGTCTGTATCTGCTTGTAGGTGTTCATATCTGTGTCTGTATCTGCTTGTAGGTGTTCATATCTGTGTCTGTATCTGCTTGTAGGTGTTCATATCTGTGTCTGTATCTGCTTGTAGGTGTTCATATCTGTGTCTGTATCTGCTTGTAGGTGTTCATATCTGTGTCTGTATCTGCTTGTAGGTGTTCATATCTGTTTCTGTATCTGCTTGTAGGTGTTCATATCTGTTTCTGTATCTGCTTGTAGGTGTTCATATCTGTGTCTGTATCTGCTTGTAGGTGTTCATATCTGTGTCTGTATCTGCTGCTGTAGGTGTTCATATCTGTTTCTGTATCTGCCTGTAGGTGTTCATATCTTGTCTGTATCTGTGTCTGTATCTGCCTGTAGGTGTTCATATCTGTGTCTGTATCTGCTTGTAGGTGTTCATATCTGTGTCTGTATCTGCTTGTAGGTGATGTCTTCATATCTGTGTCTGTATCTGCTTGTAGGTGTTTATCTGTGTCTGTATCTGCCTGTAGGTGTTCATATCTGTGTCTGTATCTGCTTGTAGGTGTTCATATCTGTGTCTGTATCTGCCTGTAGGTGTTCATATCTGTGTCTGTATCTGCTTGTAGGTGTTCATATCTGTGTCTGTATCTGCTTGTAGGTGTTCATATCTGTGTCTGTATCTGCTTGTTGTAGGTGTTCATATCTGTGTCTGTATCTGCTTGTAGGTGTTCATATCTGTGTCTGTATCTGCTTGTAGGTGTTCACATCTGTGTCTGTATCTGCTTATATGTGTTCATATCTGTGTCTGTATCTGCCTGTAGGTGTTCATATCTGTGTCTGTATCAGCACATCTGTGTGTGTATCTGCATGTATGTGTTCATATCTGTGTCTGTATCTGCTTGTATGTGTTCATATCTGTGTCTGTATCTGCCTGTAGGTGTTCATATCTGTTTCTGTATCTGCTTGTAGGTGTTCATATCTGTGTCTGTATCTGCTTGTAGGTGTTCATATCTGTGTCTGTATCTGCTTGTAGGTGTTCATATCTGTGTCTGTATCTGCTTGTAGGTGTTCATATCTGTGTCTGTATCTGCTTGTAGGTGTTCATATCTGTGTCTGTATCTGCCTGTAGGTGTTCATATCTGTGTCTGTATCTGCCTGTAGGTGTTCATATCTGTGTCTGTATCTGCTTGTAGGTGTTCATATCTGTGTCTGTATCTGCTTGTAGGTGTTCATATCTGTGTCTGTATCTGCCTGTAGGTGTTCACATCTGTGTCTGTATCTGCCTCTAGGTGTTCATATCTGTGTCTGTATCTGCCTGTAGGTGTTCATATCTGTTGTCTGTATCTGCCTGTAGGTGTTCATATCTGTGTCTGTATCTGCCTGTAGGTGTTCATATCTGTGTCTGTATCTGCTTGTAGGTGTTCATATCTGTGTCTGTATCTGCCTGTAGGTGTTCATATCTGTGTCTGTATCTGCTTGTAGGTGTTCATATCTGTGTCTGTATCTGCCTGTAGGTGTTCATATCTGTGTCTGTATCTGCTTGTAGGTGTTCATATCTGTGTCTGTATCTGCTTGTAGGTGTTCATATCTGTGTCTGTATCTGCTTGTAGGTGTTCATATCTGTGTCTGTATCTGCCTGTAGGTGTTCATATCTGTGTCTGTATCTGCTTGTAGGTGTTCATATCTGTGTCTGTATCTGCCTGTATGTGTTCATATCTGAGTCTGTATCTGCTTGTAGGTGTTCATATCTGTGTCTGTATCTGCTTGTAGGTGTTCATATCTGTGTCTGTATCTGCTTGTAGGTGTTCACATCTGTGTCTGTATCTGCCTGTAGGTGTTCACATCTGTGTCTGTATCTGCCTGTAGGTGTTCATATCTGTGTCTGTATCTGCCTGTAGGTGTTCACATCTGTGTCTGTATCTGCCTGTAGGTGTTCATATCTGTGTCTGTATCTGCCTGTAGGTGTTCACATCTGTGTCTGTATCTGCTCTGTAGGTGTCTGCATCTGTATCTGCCTGTAGGTGTTCATATCTGTGTCTGTATCTGCCTGTAGGTGTTCACATCTGTGTCTGTATCTGCCTGTAGGTGTCTACATCTGTGTCTGCATTTGTCTGTAGGTGTGGGCATCTGTAACTGCCTGTAGGTGTTCATATCTGTGTCTATATCTGCCTGTAGGTGTTCACATCTGTGTCTGTATCTGCCTGTAGGTGTCTACATCTGTGACTGCATATCTCTGTAGATGTCGACATCTGTATCTGTCTGTATGTGTTCATATCTGTGTCTGTATCTGTCTGTATGTGTTCATATCTGTGTCTGTATGTGCCTGTAGGTGTTGACATCTGTGTCTGTATCTGTCTGTATGTGTTCATATCTGAGTCTGTATCTGCCTGTAGGTGTCTACATCTGTGACTGCATATCTCTGTAGATGTCGACATCTGTATCTGCCTCTATGTGTTGACATCTGTGTCTGTATCTGCCTGTAGGTGTTTACATCTGTGTCTGTATCTGTCTGTATGTGTTCATATCTGAGTCTATATCTGCCTGTAGGTGTTGACATCTGTGTCTGTATCTGTCTGTATGTGTTCATATCTGAGTCTGTATCTGCCTGTAGGTGTTGACATCTGTGTCTGTATCTGTCTGTATGTGTTCATATCTGAGTCTGTATGTGCCTGTATGTGTTGACATCTGTGTCTGTATCTGCTTGTATGTGTTCACATCTCCGTCTGCATCTGCATGTAGGTGTCTACATGTTTGTCTGTATCTGCCAGTAGGTGTTCACATCTTTGTATCTGCCTGTAGGTGTCTACATCTGTGTCTGTATCTGCTTGTAGGTGTTCACATCTGTGTCTGTATCAGCCTGTAGGTGTTCATATCTGTGTCTGTATCTGCCTGTAGGTGTTCACATCTGTGTCTGTATCTGCTTGTATGTGTTCACATCTGTGTCTGTATCTGCTTGTATGTGTTCACATCTCCGTCTGCATCTGCATGTAGGTGTCTACATCTTTGTCTGTATCTGCTAGTAGGTGTTCACATCTTTGTATCTGCCTGTAGGTGTTCATATCTGCTTGTATGTTTTCATATCTGTGTCTGTATCTGCTTGTATGTGTACGTTGCTAATGCTGTTTTATATAACCTAAGAAGAGTTGACCTTCAGAACTGACATCGATTACAACAAGTTAGATATTGACAATGGAGACATAGATGTTCTATTCGGAGTGTATGAAGTGCCTATTGACTCGGCGGTACTCTGTTCTCATTTTCATGCCTTTTACTCGGAAATGTAATGACTCTTTGTCTTGGTAATAACGTAGGCACTGATGTCGGTAGAAAAACAAACATCTACATCGTAAGAATAACTAGCCGCTTTACATTCTATTTTCAAAATGCCTGCCAACACATGCAACCTCAAAGAAACATTTTGCTTTTACTTCCTGCCAGTCACAGGCCCGATAAGCTTTTTGTTTGTATCCTTTCCTGAATGTTATGCTTTTTTCGTTTGTTTTTTACACAATCGACTGACAGTAGTTTTGTTATTTTGTTTAGGTGTTGTAGTGTGTGAGGCTGCCAGTTTGTAACTTACCTTCGTGGTCTGTTGTGGTCAATGTCGTAAGAACAATGCGCTCCTTTCTACTTCACAATACTGCTTCCTCATATATGGTTGGATGTTTTCTTGTATATTTACTTTAACGGACATTAAAGGGAAACCGTAAGCCTTATAAACAAATTCACGCTTACTATATGTTTCCATGTAACATAGTTAGCTTTTGAAAAAGAGCTTTTGCTGATTTCATTTCAGTTTCAGTTTACAGAAAAGATTTTTGTGAAAAAGTTGATATACACTAATTAAAACAGTACAGACGTTTGAAGTCAAGTATGTTATGCCGAGTCAATGGCCGTGTCTGTGTGGCTGCCCTTGAAGGTAAGGCTTTGTCTTCAGCAACTCATGCGACTCTTTAATGGGATCAGGTGGTCAGACTCACATGTCATTGTATCCGAATTTCGTACATTGATGCTCATGATATCAGTCACAGGTTTGTCTGGTTCAGATTCAATTTACAGGCCGCTGCTATGGGACTGGAATGCTGTTGACGGTGGGTATAGACCTCAAGACAATTGTATAGTCAGTTAATTCATCGTACCATATATACTGGACAAAATAAGTTAGGGATATTGGTAATTTTATGATTTATATTTTATCAGTGTGTCAATTAATAAATAGATCATTATTCATAATTTCAAAATTTACATATATCCCTAACTATTTTTGTCCAGTATAGTATGACGCAAGATCTGAAGAAGCATACATCGTGTTCCTGTACCAACCTCCATAACATGGACATCACTCAAGGTAAGACCCGTAATATAGTTCAGTATGTATGTACGCTGTTCTGCTCAAAGGTTCCATGTGTTTGTGGACATGTGACATAGTCCGATGTCTAATACCGATAGGGCGGTGGGGTAGCCTAGTGGTTAAAGCGTTCGCTCGTTACGCCGAAGACCCGGGTTCGAATCCCAACATGGGTACAATATGTGAAGCCCATTTCTGGTGTCCCCCGCCGTGATATTGCTGGAATATTGCTAAAAGCGGCGTAAAACCAAACTCACTCACTCACTCAATCACTCTAATACCGATAAATCCTAATGGACGTCATTTCTTCTTTTACCACAACTATACGTTACTGGAATAAACCCAGCAACTGTCATATTTTTTTTAATTGTTGTTTGACCCAATTCTTGATAAAAACATGCACACACATGCACGGTTCATGTTTTATAGAATGCTACGTCATTCTTTGGCATGAGACAGGATCGTCCTCAGTAACTCATAATTTGCAATCACTTGCTACTCAAAATGGTGATTATGATTTGGCCTTATTCTGAAAACAATTTAACTCAAGGACAAAAGAAATTTTACATTTTGGAAAAGATTAGTTATATCAAACCAATATGTAATGTAGCGGAAATTATGTTTGCAATTGTTTAATTAACCAGTGAGAAAGGTTATACAACACCAGCGTCAAGGTTACTGTAACTGACACGCCAAGACCAATAACTGACACGTGGAGTCTAAATTGAATTTTACATAACGAAATGTCCCACACTGAAGTCAATAAAACGTCAATCCTCATCGCATTTCACATCGACGTAGAGAATCTGCGGATGACGTCGTTGTCATGCCAGTTGCTGCCTTTTCAGTAGTGGCTGCTGTCTCATTACGTCCGGAGAGGTCATGGCATGACGTTGACGTAATTCTGGTTGAAGAAATCCTGATCAAGACGTACAATGTGAGATATGACGTTAGACTGTTGGATTAGGGTTCGTGTGGATGTTGGAATGGGAGCACAGCTGGTCTTTGCAGGTCGGCCCTGTATCTTGGAGCAGTAACGTTAAGATTGACGTTGACTGACTGAGTTTGGTTTTACGCCGCTTTTAGCAATATTCCAACAACATCACGGCGGGGGACACCAGAAATGGGCTTCACACATTGTACCCATGTGGGGATTCGAACACGGGTCTTCGGCGTGACGAGCCAACGCTTTAACCACTAGGCTACCCCACCGCCCATTGACGTTGACAAGTCTGTTTTTCCAATTGTCAGAGATGACACCATGACACTCAGTTTCTGCAGGGCTCACCTTCTTGAACAACGGCTGAATGTTCTTCTCCACACATGTATACTCTTGTCCTGTCATCATTCTTGGAGAAGCTGAACCTACTTTCGTGCGAGAAGACCCTTTACTAATCGCGTAATTACCAACTGCCCCATTGTAAACTGGCCTGAAGATATCTATTATCTCACGTTACACCTCAGTGAGGCATGATCTGGAAGCATCTGAGGCAGATCAGGATCTAACACCAGCAGTACGAAGTCTTCTTCACAAGATTCATCTACGATGTCACCGTCCAAAACAAGTGCAAAGTTCGGTGTATCCATCAACCTGCGGACTTGGGACGTGTGGTCTACCTGTGTTAGATCTGTCAGGAGTTCCAACTGTCTGTCTGAAGGGGCGATACATCATATCAATAACTGTAACATTTGAACACCCAAAGACCTTTGTAACGAGAATGTTCTTGTCTGGAACAGATTCTTCCAATTGTTCGGTCGTGTTGTTCTTCAATGAATCTTACCATTCTCTTGGTGGTTTTCTATTGATGTCCACCCTTACTGTAGTAACGGTTCGTCTTAGTTTGTCACGTCCAGTATTTGTAGATTGCAATAGAAGCCCATTTTGTTGAACTGATATTGAGTTTTGTCCATGGTGTCTATGGTGTATACAGGTGGTTGCATTATAACAGATTTTGGTTTTGATCTTCTAAATATATTCTTTTGTGTAGGATTTATTATGGACATGAGGATATATCCATAAGAAGTTCTGTGAAGGGTCCTTGAATGGGCACATTTTGGTTAATTCGTCGTGTTTTTCGACGTTTTTCTGATCGAAAGGGGGACTAGTTTTCCAATAGGTTAGGGAAAAGGACGAGAGGTGACAAATATTTTTAAGTTAAAATCAGTGTTTTTCTTGTATTAACACTTGGTTAGGTTTGTAAAGGGTAACCGTGAATGAATATGTCCATACGATATCTCTACAGGTGGTTAACCAGTGCATGCTGGAGGAAAGGTGTACATCAGTGGCACGTTATTAAACACATATATTTAAATTGATAACATACACGTCTATTTCTGTCTCGTGGCGTTTTTGTAAGCACCGTCTCATGTGAGTTACACGTGTGATTAATTACTGCTATGACGGGGTGTTTGTTGTAAGTGAATGTGAACAGACGTCGGACTATCAAGTGAGCTCACCGAGACAAGCTGCTGACATCATTGTTGTAGGGGAGGGGTAATGACGAGATTCCAGGTTCGGAGTTAATCCAGGCGCCATATCTCCTCACACCAGTCTTGGAAGCCGGCTTAGTGTCGAACACTGTCGAGATCAATTGACGTGTGAGCTGTTTCCGCTTCCTCCCCGCTTCTGTCAGTTTCACAATTAACCTTTTATCTCGTTCTCTCAATCTACACTCTCCTCCTCAACTATCTTTGTCTCAGTGTTGACTCACTCTCCACTTCCATGCATTCTTTTATCCTTAACTCCTCTGTTCTTCTTTCTTTATTCTCCACCCCTCCCCCTCTTCTCTCTTTTCTCAGTCTACTAGTTCCACTTCCTCTCGGTCTCCATTGGGTCCGTCGTTTTCCATTGTTTCTTTCTCTCAATCTTCACTCTTCACTTCATCTTCCTTTCTTTAATTTCATATTTTCTTACCTTAAGTCATCACTCTGGTCTTCCTTACTATATCACTCTCACACTCACTCTTTCCCTCATTCTTCACTCTTTTCTTCCTCTTCAATATTTATTCTCCTCTTCCTTTTTCTCTCAATCTCTGTTTGATCCATTTTCTACTCGTCTCTTTCTCTCGCAATATCAAATCGGTTTCATTTCCCCTCTTTCAATAACTACACCTCATCTTATTTTCTGTCTATCTCACTCACTCTCTTCACCTTCTGACCTCCTCTCTTTATTTCTGAACTGTAGGCCAGAGGCCCGTAGTACACTAAAACAGATGTGTAAGGCGCTGCAATTAGCTGTGCGGAGATGCATCCTTGGGCTTGCCAAAATCTATGACTGTGGGTTCGAATCCCGGTTTGCCATGATTGCCATCACCATATTTCTACTAGAGGATTTCTCCAAAACAGAAACGTCGGAGACCGGAACCGCTTCAGTCTATCCTACCACAAACAGGTAACACGTGATATGGTTGGAATACTGTTCCAAGCGGAGTCAAACCCATCTTACTCACCACCTCTTCCTCTTATAAGCTCTTCCATTTCACATTTCTTGGAACCCGTTAAGATCCGGGTTAGACCTCTTCTCTCAAATAATAATATTGAAGTACTGCTAGCATTGATACTCTCTCGATCACTCACTGGCCACTGAATTGGTTTCTCAGAGGTAAACATGACTTCCGGGATACCACCCACAAGGGAGGTAACTCTGGATCATGTGACTGGATAAGGTCAAAGACCCCTGTGGGGAGGAGTGAGTCGATGTCGTGGATCAGTGGCAGTAAAGTGGAAGCGTTTCATCCCGTTGCATTTCGTGTCACTTTATCAATCGGTTATACATTAACAAACATCACTAAAAGATTCATTGATTTCCCCACTGCCGTTTTCCCAATAGATGAGTTGAAGCAAGCAGACACGTGGCCAGGTGACGGTGAGACGTTACAGACGGTGCAGGGAAAGATGAGACAGGGAAGTTAGACGGTTAGGGGACAGACGGGGTTCAAGGACACGGTGAGCGAGAGTCAAGGCGGTACCATGGTAGTAGACGATGCGGGCCAGTCTTATCATCTTTACTTCGTTATTCCTCTCTGCGGGAAGATCTGAGGATGCATCCGTAAGAGTCGCACCATGACCACACATCCACAACATGTTCTTTACCTAAAAGGGTTCCTATGGAGGTTTTACGAGTGTTCTTTGAGCTTTTACATAGGCAGAGATAAGACACTCCGAACTGAGGCGGTAAATAAGTGATGACAAATTGTCTTAGAAAGCTACATCTATTTGGCTGAAGAACCTTCCACTGTGATTGGGTGGTTCGTTCACGACAGCTAAGGCAGGACTGGTGGCGACAGGGAGTGCAGGGCAGGAGACGGTGCAGGGACCGGGGGAGCAGGGCAGGAGACGGTGCAGGGGCCGGGGGAACAGGGCAGGAGACGGTGCAGGGACCGGGGGAGCAGGGCAGGAGACGGTGCAGGGACCGGGGAGCAGGGCAGGAGACGGTCAGGTACCGGGAGAGCAGGGCAGGAGACGGTGCAGGGACCGGGGATGCAGGGCAGGAGACGGTGCAGGGACCGGGGGAGCAGGACAGGAGGCGGTGCAGGGACCGGGGGAGCAGGACAGGAGGCAGTGCAGGGACCGGGGAAGGAGGTCAGGAGACGGTGCAGGGACCGGGGATGCAGGGCAGGAGACGGTGCAGGGACCGGGGTGCAGGGCAGGAGACGGTGCAGGGACCGGGGAGCAGGGCAGGAGACGGTGCAGGGACGGGGGGGAGTGCAGCAGGAACCGGGGAGCAGGTCAGGAGGCGGTGCAGGGACTGGGAGTGCAGGACAGGAGGCGGTGCAGGGACTGGGAGAGCAGGGCAGGAGGCGGTGCAGGGACTGGGAGTGCAGGGCAGGGAGACAGTACAGGGAGGCGGTGGGAGAGCAGGACAGGGAGACGGTGCAGGGACTGGGGGAGCAGGGCAGGGGAGGTGCAGGGACCGGGGGAGCAGGGCAGGAGACGGTGCAGGGACTGGGAGTGCAGGGCAGGGGAGGTGCAGGGACCGGGGGAGCAGGGCAGGAAACGGTGCAGGGAAGGGACTGGGAGTGTAGTGCAGGAGACGGTGCAGGGACTGGGAGTGCAGGGCAGGTGACGGTGTAGTGCAGGAGACGGTGCAGGGTCTGGGAGTGCAGGGCAGGTGACGGTGTAGGGCAGGAGACGGTGCAGGTACCGGGGATGCAGGGTAGAAGACGGTGCAGGGACCGGGAGTGCAGGGCATGTGTCGGTGTAGGAACTGGGAGTGTGGGCAGGAGACGGTGTAGGAACTGGGGGTGCAGGGCAGGAGACGGTGCAGGGACCGGGGGTGCAGGGGAGGCGGTGCAGGGACCGGAGTTGCAGCCAAGAGAGGAAGCGGGACAGATGGATCACGGGGGCAGGAAGCGCATCCATCACAGAGGATGTGGTTTTCGATTGGATAAGGAAGTCAGAGATGTGAGTTGAAGTGGAGGAGACGTGAGAATGTTACTGATGATGCAGTTCACACGGATCTGTTTCGAGATATAGGAATGTGCAATAATATACCGAATATACATAGTCTTTCTATAGGTAGAGTAACTTGATTGTGTGGTCACTCTTCCAGACTCGAGAGCACATACTAGCATTTAATACAGCATTCAACCCATTTCTACACTCATAACCACCCCGAGTTCCAGCAACCTCGTCCAATTTCTACTCTGAAAATTATTATAAAACTTGTTTTTCCCTTTAATACTCGTGTGTTTAATTTTTTAAGGCTTTTATTTAACTTTATACATAATTATATTTCATGGACTATACGGTCGTCTATGGACTGTGTTACTTCGGCTTTCCTCTCAAAGCTGAGGTCAACCCAATTCCCAATTTCCCTGCCACGTGACCTTCAATACCGTGAACCGGCGAGAGTTACTAGGCCGTAAAGTCGTTGTTGGCTTTCCGGCATTGAGAGGGTTGGAGAACTCTCACTTCAGCAGCGATAACGAGCGTTGATTTCCCCTGAAGAATGCCTCGAAACATGGCTCCATCGCATGGAACTGCTGAATCAATGGGTAGGAAGCATCACTGCTTCTTGAATTACTGAAGCTCATATGCAAATTTGATGACGTTTTCTGCTGAATGAACTCTCAACAGTTTTGACAGTTTGTTTCTTGTGGCTTCAGAATGAGATATTAATTACTATGAGTATGTATTTGTTTGCATGTCATAGGAGAAATCGCCTAATGCGAGTATATCCGGCTATATTCAAGGTATGTTTCATTCAGGAAGGGACCCAGTTGCCAATATTATGTCTCACAGTTCCTGAACCACATTATTGTCCCTACTGCCCAGCCCTCCCTGCAATGCTAAAGCCCTAAATGAAGTAAGTCTAGATTTCTTCAGGTTCTGAAGCTCCCATCAGACTGGGGCTCCTTTTCAATTTAAATGGGTGTATTTGTTACTATCAAAATTATATATATTCAGAAACTAAGCGATAGTCTAAGTCGCCTAAAGCGCCATAATGTTTCTGTGCAGAGTTACGTACCTTGTTTGTGCCAGAACCTTTTAAAACCTTCATAACTTCGAAATTTCCCCGACACCAAGTTTATATAACTGCAATGCTGTTGGGTAGCAGAATACACTCACTATTTGGAGACTTTTTGATCCAATAAGTTACGCTGAGGGGGTCGTTGTCGGCACGGGTACTACAGATATGTACCCCAGGTACGTTTCTGTATACAGAAACGTACCTTGGCCATAATGAGAATACAGAAACGTACCCTAGGACGATTCCATTCCTATTGTGTCGTATTCTTGACCGGAACTGTCATACTGTTGTATTAGATACATTTGATTGTGTTATGTAAGTAATGAGAATACACAGTAACGGATATTTCGCGATGCATATAAATACCACTCGCAATCAGTTGAACGGGAACAACTACATGCGGTTCTGGTTGTGGATTGCGGAATATGAACTCGTCCGCCTTTTAGGGTACCGGGTACGTTTCTGTATTTTAACTTTGTTTAAGGGTACATATCTGTATACAGAACCGTACCTGGGGTACGTATCTGTAGTACCTGTGCCGACATCGACCCCTTCAGCATAAGTTACGATAACACAACAGTAGTCTGTCTCACAGTCCCTGAACCACATTGTTGTCCCTACTGCCAAGCTCTCTCTGCAGTGCCAAAGCCCTAAATAAAGCAAGTCTAGATTTCCTCAGGTTAATCTCTGGTCTCCCTAGGGCTCCTTTTCAATTTAAATGGGCTTGTTTGTTACTATCAAAATTATATATATTCAGAGGCTAAACATTAGTCTAACACAACAGCTATGCCTGGAAAAACAAAGATTCATTTATTTGATCCTGTATTGGAATCTTGTATTCATCAGTACAGTCCGTCGTGATACCCTTGATGCATCGACATTATCCTGTCCGCACAAACAGTTTCCATCCTTCTTGCAATCCTTGTTCATAAAGGTCACGCTGGTCAGGAACACTCAAGAAGGACCGTATTCATAACCAATGCCTCCGCTGTGCATTTGTCTTTTAATCCTTGCAAAACGCCGAAACACACTGTTCCCATCTCATCCACACACTAAGCGTGACAAAGTTCTGTCTAACCCACATATCCATTCACACAAAGCGTAATCCGGGAGAAAATGTGTGAACACAATTATGACATTCCCGGCGCGTTGTTAATAGGTAGTCACAGAGAATATGTAACGAGACCCTTGATACAATCTATCTCTGCTCCACACCACAACCCTCCTCAACCCCTACCCCCATCCCCCAACCGCCAACCCCCAATTCCCCAACCCCTGAACATGCTCAGTCTGCCTACCACCTCTCGTAAAACAGCCTCCTACCTATCACTCCATTAGATAAACACAGCCGTGGCTGATCTTTACAACACGTCCCATGAGTATATTATATATTTATCGGCATGTCTCTAGCTAATTGGCGGGCATAGATTGGCATATGGCAGTACACTGGAAGGGGCATCCACATTGATAGGAGGTTATGAAGTGTGAAGCGGCTCCTGGATACTATCGATCGCTCATTATTCACAAATGGCTTTGTCTAATTATTTATCTCGCGAGAAGCAACGAGACTTGGTTGACGGGAAAACGTATTTCGGCGAGATATGTCGACAAGATGGTAACTGAAGATTACCGAAGCCTAACTGGATCTGGCGCTGTTGTGTGTGAAGCGAGACAAAGCTGGAGATTAAATTCCATACCGTGACGGTGAAATTAAAGAAAAACAAAATTTTCAAAGAGCTCACCTTCCGCCAAACATAATTCGAAAACAGCTCGTCTATTTAAAGATTCACATTATCCCAACGTCTATGATCAATGGCATGGTTGACCAACTAACTTTAAAAGACGTAAGACATCTGTGAACCTTCAGTATAGTACTTGCATGTGCTGTGTGCAGTTTGTTAGCGGTGTCGGTGTGGTGTATCATATTTGGCTGCAGCGATGGAGTCGGAGGGTGAGTGAGGGAAGATAAGCCGTGGCCGACAGATACAGAGGGAGAAGGATGCTGAAAGAGAGGTTTGTGCTGACGGTTATGATGCCAACTGTGCGTCTTTCAGTAAATCACCCCAGGAATTCGAACAAACAGCAGATATGTAGCCGACGTTTTAAAGTCAGGTGTTGCTGGCGATTCAGACCAAAGGTCTAGCCTTCTGGCGCGGCTTGCCGACGGTCAGTTCCGGACCATGGTAGGGTATTTTGATGAAACGGTTGTACTCCATTGTATGGGATTCACTCACTATACATTTTTCTTTCAGACCTTTTGAACGTATACAAAATAATAATAATATGCGCCAAATTACTAGAGTGATGTTTTTACTCTATCCCGAGTCACCACTCCCTGCACTGTATTTTGTATTTCTTCTTTTCTTCTTTTCTTCTTTGTCTTCTTCATCTGGGCAAGTTGTGTAAGGCGCCGCAATTAGCTGTGCAGTGATGCATCCTTGGGCTTGCCAAAAACCTATGACTGTGGGTTCGAATCCCGGTTTGCCACGATTACCATCACCGTATTTCTACTAGATGATTTCTCCAAAACAGAAACGTCGGAGACCGGAACCGCTTCAGTCTATCCGACCACAAACAGGTAACACCTGACATGGCTGGAATACTGTTCCAAGCCGAGTTAAACACATCTTACTCACCACCTCTTCCTCTTATAATCCCTTCCATTTCACATTTCTTAGAACCCGTTAAGATCCGGGTTAGAACTGGACTTCAGCAACCCATGCTAGCAACTAACAGGATCGGGTGAGCAGGGTCGCTGACTTGGTTGACACATTGCCATCTTATACCGATTGCGTAGACCGATGCTCATGCTGTTGATCACTGGATTGTCTGGTCCAGACTCGATTATTTACAGACCGCCGCCATATAGCTGGAAAATTGCTGCGTGCGGCGTCAAGCAAACAAAATATCCATTTCTTGTACTATGTTCTAATCATATTCCAGTATTGAATTTTACAGTCCTGAAGGAATCCGTTACTTCACAGAATTAAGGTAATTAAACCGTGAATTAAGATGTCGTTGACAAAATCGAGGTCTTTTTTGTGTTGGGGTTTTTTGGGGTCCTGGGTGACTGTTAACTTCCTATCGCATCACAGGCAGCTTGGGTTGTATACTCCCCAGGAACACGAGAAAGAAACTCGAAAACAGACTAAACCACTGACCAGGTGATAATAATAGTGATGGTTATTATTCTTATTGATTTTTGTTGAAGTCATTATTAACCGAATAAATGTACGTCATTGCAAAGACATCTTTGTGAATGAACGGGGATTGAGATTTCAAGCTTGAAAGAGTAAATAAGGCGCAACTGCACATATGTTTTCCTCAGAGATGTTTCAGTGTTATCATAACGGAAACTTTAAACTCCACTCACCGGAGGAGCGTAAAGGCACTTCTTTGTCGTTGAGAGAGCCGGCGGCGTATCACGTGATCTTTGAAAGACCACGTGACTTTGCGTATGGTTTTCAGGCTTGACATTAGCGTGCGTATGTAGTTATTTTCAGAAACAACAAAATTAAAAGAAAAAGTCCATTTTCAGCGTACATTGATGACAAAAACACATTTTGCGATAATCTTGGTGGTATCTGTTTGGC